ATTTAGACAAATATTTTTAAGAACTTATTGTGGTTAGGTCTCTGGTGATACAAAGGAAATAAAGTGTGAAATCCCTGTAAACAAGCTACTGAGCCAGTATTCCAGCATTCTCCAAAATGTTTTCCATGAGACGTTTATAGGTATTACATTCAAAAAGGGATTATGATCAAATAAATTTGGTAAACTCTAGATTAAGCACATTTAACACATTTCTTTCTTCAGAATTTTTCAGGGCCTTTAATACGTTGTGTCTTTCCAAGAAGGAAGTCAGACTTCTCTCTACATGGAATTCTTTTTTCACAGAGTATGTCTTAGAACAAATTTTCCAAAGAATACAGTTTTGGAAGTGTTGAACTAGATTATCAATTTCTTACGGACAATGATCATGACTTTCTACATTTTTAAACTCCTGTAGCACCTAAACAAAGATTACTAGTACATGGAAAGTCTGTTGGTCAAATGAATTCTCACAATCTGAAAGGTAGGTTTATTATCCAAGATGTTAAGGAAATGGAGGCTGAAAAAGTATTAAAGATTGCCTGTGCCTACAGAGTAAAGCTGTCGTTTATTCCATTACTTTTTTGAATTTCATTTCCTCTTTTGGAGTGTTGGCTCATATTTATTCCCCCAGTAAAGCAATGGCTTACTTGTGAACTGCCAGTTTGTCTCTTACTAACATTTTAAAATTAGCCTTCATAGATGCTAATAATTTTACTCAGAAGAAAGCTGTGTCTGTGGAATGATGTTGGAACTGTGACAGCAGAAACACCATAGGAGCCAAGGAGCTTAGCATGCCTCAAAAGGTGAGAATGGCACACATATGCACCAATTTTTCTTATCAAAACATATCAGCGCTTGTACAGGAATACAAGAAGAATATGAGGAGAATAATCACAGCATTGGGGAAATAGCATGCTAGTCTTGTAGCTACTTCCAGCATAAGGACCTTGCTGGGCATTATCTGCCAGGCTGTGGTGCAGGAAACCATTATACAGCATGGAAAAGTGAACTTGGCAAATGAAGGATAAGAGGAAAATCAAAAGAACAGTTTCTGTCATCAGTTCTCCTTTTCCAGGACTGAAGCAAACTTGTTTGATATTTTTAGTTTGCTTGATTCTAAATGACATGAAAATGCTTCCATTTCACTGGGGGAGGGCCAGCTGGAGTGAAAATCAAATGGCTGAGAACTGAGGTTTTATGTTTTATCTTTTAATATGGGAAAGAAAAGAAAAAACACTGTATCTCAGAGTGGTTAGAAACCAAATTGTTTTTTATAGTCTGCATCCTGCTTTGATGAAATGGGGGTGGTTTTCATGATGTCATCCACATGGTTTAAATAAACAGTATACTAAGGTTAACAAGCTACAATCATAACAGAACTAGTAGGGGATTATAGCTGGGCTAATTTGATCAATTACTTTCAGTTCCAGAGGTCTCTAGATGAGACAGAAGCCAGTATACACATTTTGGCAGATAAAAAATTAGTTTGGTCAACACATACCCTGATGGTAATGAACATTCTTTCAAACTTCATTTTTCATCCCCGAGAGAGTAGAATCCCACTAATGCCAGTCACTGCCACTCAAAACCAGCCAAAAAGATAACAGTATTTTAGGCGCCAGAAATTTGCATTCCATGGGGTAGGCTAGGACTAGTCTTTTGGCTGCTCCATTGTGTCTGTGTTATATTTTAAGTTTTCCTCTCAGTATTTTTCTATTCAAAATTAATTGAAACTAGGAATAACTATCTAAAGTTTGTTTTTTGGGGTTGTTTTGTTTGTTTTTGAGATGGAGTTTTGCTCTTGTCACCCAGGCTGGAGTGCAATGAAGCAATCTCGGCTCACTGCAACCACCACCTCCCAGGTTCAAGTGATTCTCCTGCCTCAGCCTCCCAAGTAGCTGGGATTACAGGTGTCCGCCACGACACCTGGCTAATTTTTTGTATGTTTAGTAGAGACGGGGTTTTGCCATGTTGGGAAGGCTGGTCTCGAACTCCTGACCTCGGGTGATCTGCCCACCTTGGCCTCCCAAAGTGCTGGGATTTACAGGCATGAGCCACTGCACCTGGCCAACTATCTAAAGTTTTTAGTCATTGTATGCTATGCCTTCGACAGGTGATATTTTCTTTCTTCTTCTTTTTTTTTTTTTTTTTCCATAGCATGTTTGTTTGTTTACTTTAAGTTCTGGGATACACGTGAAGAACCTACAGGTTCATTACATAGGTATACATGTGCCATAGTGGTTTGCTGCACCTATCAGCCCGTCATCTAGGTTTTAAGCTCTACATGCATTAGGTATTTGTCTAAATGCTCTCCTTCCCCTGCCCCCAACCCCTGGACATGCCCTGGTGTCTGATATTCCACTCCCTGTGTCCATGTGTTCTCATTGTTCAGCTTCCACTTATGAGTGAGAACATGCAGTGTTTGCTTTTCTGTTCCTGTGTTAGTTTGCTGAGGATAACAGTTTCCAGCTTCATCCATGTCCTTGCAAAGGACATGAACTCATTCTTTTTAATGGCTGCATAGTACTCCATGGTGTATATGTACCACATTTTCTTTATGCAGTCTATCATTGATGGGCATTTGGGTTGGTTCCAAGTCTTTGCTATTGTAAATAGTGCTGCAGTAAACATACATGTGCATATGTCTTTATAATAGAATGATTTATAATCCTTTGGGTATATACCTACTAATGGGATTGCTGGGTCAAATGATATTTCTGGTTCTAGATCCTTGAGGAATTGCCACACTGTCTTCAACAATGGTTGAACTAATTTACACTCCCACCAACAGTGTAAAAGCGTTCCTATTTCTCTACATCCTCGCCAGTATCTGTTGTTTCCAGATTTTTTAATGATCGCCATTCTAACTGGCATGAGATGGCATCTCATTGTGGTTTTGATTTGCATTTCTCTAATGACCGGTGATGATGTGCTTTTTTTCGTATGTTCCTTGGCTGCATAAAAGTAAACAGTTTTTTCCTCTTTTTTTTTTTTTTTTTTTTGAGACAGAGTCTCGCTCTGTCACCCAGGCTGGAGTGCAGTGGCCGGATCTCAGCTCACTGCAAGCTCCGCCTCCCGGGTTTACGCCATTCTCCTGCCTCAGCCTCCCAAGTAGCTGGGACTACAGGCGCCCGCCACCATGCCCGGCTAATTTTTTGTATTTTTAGTGGAGATGGGTTTTCACCGTGTTAGCCAGGATGGTCTTGATCTCCTGACCTCGTGATCCTCCCATCTCAGCCTCCCAAAGTGCTGGGATTACAGGCGTGAGCCACCGCTCCCGGCCTTCTTAATTTTTATTTTAAGTTCAGGGGTACATGTGCAGATTTGTTGCATAGGTATATTTGTGTTATGGGTATTTGTTGTACAGATTATTTCACCATCCAGGTTTTTTTTTTTTTTTTGAGACGGAGTCTCGCTCTGTCTCCCAGGCTGGAGTGCAGTGGCGGGATCTCGGCTCACTGCAAGCTCCACCTCCCGGGTTTACGCCATTCTCCTGCCTCAGCCTCCAAGTAGCTGGGACTACAGGCGCCCGCCGCCATGCCCGGCTAATTTTTTGTATTTTAGTAGAGACGGTGTTTCACCGTGTTAGCCAGAATGGTCTGGATCTCCTGACCTCGTGATCCGCCCGCCTTGGCCTCCCAAAGTGCTGGGATTACAGGCGTGAGCCACCGTGCCCGGCCATCATCCAGGTATTAACCCTAGTACCCATTAGTTATTTTTCCCGATCCTCTCCCTCCTCTCACCTTCCACCCTCTGAAAGGCTGGAGTGTGTGTTGTTCCCCTCTGTGTGTCCATGCGTTCTCATCATTTAGCTACCAGTTGTAAGTGAGAACATGTGGTGTTTGGTTTTCTGTTCCCTGTTAGTTTGCTAAGGATAATGGCCTCCAGCTCCATCCATGTCCCTGCAAAGGACATAATCTCATTCTTTTTTATGGCTGCATAGAATTCTATGGTGTATAATGTACCACATTTTCTTTATCCAGTCTATCAGTGATGGGAATTTAGGTTGATTCCATGTCTTTTCTATTGTGAATAGTGCTACAATGAACATAGGTATGCATGTGTCTTTATAATAGAATGATTTCTATTCCTTCGGGTTTATACCCAGTAATAGGATTGCTGGGCCATATGGTATTTCTGTCTTTAGGTCTCTGAGGAATTGCCACACTGTCTTCCACAATGGCTGAATGAATTTAAACTCCCACCAACAGTGTGCAAGCATTTCTTTTTCCTCCACAACCTCACCACCATCCATTATTCTTTTACTTTCAGTAACCGTCATTCTGACTGATGTTAGATAGTATCTCATTGGGGTTTTGATTTGCATTTCTCTATTGATCAGTGATGTGGAGCTTTTTTTCATATGCTTACTGGACACATGTATGTCTTCTTTAGAAAAGTGTTTGTTCTGTCCTTTGCTTACTTTTTAATGGAGTTATTTGTTTTTTTCTTGTAAATTTGTTTAAGTTCTTTATAGATGTTGGATATTAGACATTTGTCAGATGCATGGATTGCAAAGCTTTTCCCCCATTCTGTATGTTGTCTGTTTATTAAACAGTTTATGTCCATAGAGTATATGAAGGAACTGAGCAATGAGCTTTAGATACATGACTTATCAGCTTTGTAAGATGCTGAATACAAAGAAATGATTTTTAGTATGTAAATAGAAGAAATGAATGATAAAAAAAAAACGAGCTATTTAAATTCCACAATTGCTATTTAAAAGGCACTAGCTTGGTGGTACAGGGTACAAAATTGTGTAAGTCATGGATCTGACTTGATTGTCTCCTAGGGGAGATGCCATCCACACCATGAATTACAACACACAGCAGATATGCCACAGAAGAGTGACAAAAATTTGACTCCTCATTCCAAAGTCAAAAGATGACAAGACCTCATTTGGGGGCAGGAATCAAGAAAAAATTCTGGGATGAGCTTTCATTTGCGATGTTCAGGCCATGATATAGACATTTTTGCATAAGGAATAAATCATAGGTAGCATGAACTGGGGAATTAGGGAATGCCCAGGGAATGCTGAAGAGGACCTTTTGGTTTGCCCAGAGAATTGTGCTCCTAAAAGGCAGAGATCAAGACAAAAAAGTAAGCTGTAATCACTTTTGAAGGACTTTGGATTCCATGGGATTTTAATTTGGACAAAATAGTGTGGGGAGTTGTTGAAAGTTTTTGAGAAAAGCCTATCAGAGTAAGAAAAATTATTCCAGAAAAAATAACCATTCTCTAGCACATTTGAGAGAGCTCAGAGGTGGGGAAAATCAGAAGCTGTTATCACAGTAAGTCTAGTTGAAAGATAGAGAGTCTACATTGGGCTGGTAGCAGTGGAAAATGAAGAAAAACACAAAGGTTTTATACAAGGAGAATCTATAGGACTCAACCACTCATTGTGGAATAAAAAAGATTTAAAAAGTGGATTTCAACCTTGGGTGGATAAAAAATGGTGGCACCAACAATAGTAACATGAAAAATGAGAAAGTGGGACTCTTTTGGTGGGTTTGGTTAGGCATCATTGGAATTTGGGTGCTCCAATCACATCTAAAAACTTATAAAAACTTAGAAAGAGTAGTTGAGGGGAGATATACTGAGGGGTTTGAGAATCTGTTGAAGCAAAAGAGAATGTGAGTCCCCTCCAGAAAGAATTTTGGATTCTATTTAAGAAATATTTAATGAGTTCCTAATAGTGCCAGGGACTGTGCCGGGCATGGTAAGGAAAACAAATACACAAAACAGATCCCTTAAAAAGTTCAGAATCTAGTAAGTTTCTCATTCTGGTTCTATCACTTATTTGCTGTATAACCTAGGGAAATCAACATTTTGGGATTGTTCAGCTTGCTTCTATTCTGGGAATATTGCCGTGTACATGCTTAACCAGTTAGGTGGTGGCGTTAGATTTGCCAGGTGTAAAATTTTTTAGCATCATAGAGGAGCTCATGGGAAATGTTATTATGGACAGTCATAAGGGCTAGTAGAGGCAAGGAATTAGGTGATAGCCAAAATCCCAGTCAGAGTGAAGGAGCACAACACATGGGAAACATTTAGAGAAGTCTCTGAGGTTAGAACCGAAGCCAAAGCCTTCCACTAGTGCGTCACTTTCCGACAGTGCAAGCCAGCAGTGGCCTTGAAGCACTCCCATGCTGAGCTTAAGCACTGGATCCAGAAGCCAGAGGAATAACATAGACATTTCTAAAAAGGAACCCTGTATAGTAGAGGACAGTAGAGAAGCGTGAAAATGGCAGACATCTTCACACTGTGCTGGTGTTTAGTTATTCAATTGATACTTACTGAGTACTTACTGTGTGCTCAGGGCTACTTTCTGAGTGTACAATAGTGAGCAAAGCAGACAGGTTCCTGCCTCAGTTCATTTGCATTGTGATAAAGGAACACGTGAGGCTAATTTATTCAAGAAGCACAGCGCCAGCATCTGCTTCCTGTGAAGACTTCAGACTGCTTCTACTCATGGTGGAAGGCAAAGGGGAACCCATGTATCGTATGATGAGAGAGGGAGAAAGAGGGAGGAGAGAAGGTGTTAGGCTCTTTTTTAACAATCAAATCTCCTGGTAACTAATAGACTGAGAAGACACTCATTACCATGAGGACAGCACAAAGCTTTTCATGAAAGATCAGCCTCCATGACTCAAACACCTCCCACTAGGGCTCACCTTCAACACTGGAGCTCAAAATTTCAACATGAGATTTGGAGGCAACAAACATTCAAACTATATTGGTCCCTAATATCACGAAGTTTGTAGGCTAGTGAGGAAGACAGCTATTAATCAAATTTTTACTTGACTGTAATAGGTGCTATAAAAAAGAAGGATACGGTTCAAGGAGAACCTCTAAAAGGAGGGCTTTCATTTAGATTGAAGTATCCAAAGAGCTGTTCCAAGTGAATTATGTTTGAGCAAACAGGGGATGGAGTTGGCCTTCAACAAAGTCCTTTATTGAAATGAGAGATGAGGAGTGGACTGCCAGACAGATCTTTCCCTATTCCTGGTCACTAGAGCATCCAATTATAGAATCCTGAAGGAATAAAATATCAAAAGGTCCAAAAACACCAAAGGTGAACCCAGTGACCCAAATACAGAGAGAACAGGAAATTATTCAAAGTCTAGTCATGCTTATTACAGAGGCTCTAGTGCATAGTGGTAAAAACCCGAGTCTGGTATCAAACCAAAACTGAAGTCTGGCATTAAAAGCTGTGTGACGTAGACAAATTAGTAACTCTCTGTAAGCCTCAGTTTCCCCCTCTGTAAGGTAGAAATAATAAGAGTCACATACCCCTGTGACTGTTAAGAGAATTAAATAATTCATAAAACTTGTAGCGCAATTTCTTACACTACCCTTCAATAAATGTTAGGTGTTATCATCATCTTGGATAAGGATTTTTTACTGAGATCTACAGTGATCCAAATATCATAAAATTCACCCATTTAAAATGTGCAGTTTGGTGCATTCAGTACATTCACAAAGTTGTACAACCATCACTATCTAATTCCAGAACATTTTTATCAGCTCAAAAATAAGCCTCATATCCATTAGTCACTCCCTTTCCCTTTCCCCTCCAGCCCCTGGCAATCGCTAACCTACTTCTGTCTCTATGGATTTGTCTATTTCAGACATGTCATATAAGTGGAATCATATAATATATGGCCTCTTGTGTCTACGAAGCATAATGCTTTCAAGGTTCATTCCTGTCGTATCAAGTATTCATATTTCTTTCCTTTTTATGGCTGAATGATATTCCATTGTATAGATATAATGTATACATTATTAGTATAGAAGTTTTTGTGTGAACATATGTTTCCAATTCTCTTGGGTATACATCCAGAAGTGGGACTGCAGGATCGAATGGTAACTCTGTTTAACTTTAGGGGGAAATGCCAAACTGTTTCCCAAAGCTGTTGCATCATTTTACATTCCCACAAGCAAAGCATGAGTATCCCAATTTTTCCACATCCTTACCAACACTGTCATTGTCTGTCTTTTTTATTCACCATCTTGGTGAGTGTGAAGTGGTATCTTGTTGTGGGTTTGATTTGCATTTCCCTAGTGACTAATATTTATTGAGCATCTTTTTCATGTGCTTATTGGCCACTTATGTATCTTCTTAGAAGAAATGTCTATTCACATCTTTGCCCATTGTTTAATTGGGTTATTTGTTCTTTTATTGTTGAGTTGGATACGGCTGTTATTTTAAAACTTTTGGATACACTAAGGGAACTGCATTTCCAGCGAGAGACACACCACGCAGGACTGAAAATGGTTAGTCTAAGGGGATTCATGACAGATTTGAGAAACCATGATGAACAGAATTTCCAGCCAGAGAATTTCCACTCAGACCCATCATCAACAGGAATGATTCCAACATGAAGGTGAACCACCACAGGATCCAGTTAGTCCCAGTTTCACTCTGTCATCCAAGCTGGAGTGCAGTGGCATGGTCTCCACTCACTGCAGCCTCAACCTCCCAGCTTCAAGTGATCTTCCCACCTCAGCCTCCCGAGTAGCTGGGACTACAGCAACATGGAGAAGGCATCAAAAACGTACTTCGTTCATCCACCAACAGTATGAAGAGCTAGAAGCTCTGTTTAGCCAGACTGTGTTCCCAGACAGAAACCTTCAGGAGAAACTAGCTTTGAAACTCAACCTACTGGAGTCAACAGTAAAGGCTTGGTTCAGGAACTGGCAATTCAGATTGAAGCAGCAGCAATCAGCAAAGCAAGCAAACCAGATCCTTCCATTCAAGAAGAATGTGCCCGGCTTCCCCTGAACACCCCCCAGTCTTTATGCTTTTTCTCCTGTAGTTTCAGATTTCTACAGCTCCCTTCCACCTCAGCCCTTAGACCCTTCCAACTGGGCCTGGAACTCTACCTTCACTGAAAGTCCCACAAGTGACTTCCAAATGCAAGATACTCAATGGGAGAGGCTGGTGGCCCCAGTTCCTGCTTTGTACTCCGATGCCTATGACATATCCCAAATCATAGAACTGTACAATCTTCCTGATGAGAATGAGATATCCAGCTCTTCTTTCCACTGTCTGTATCAGTATCTCTCACTCACAAGGTACCAGGTAGGAGGACAAGATTTCTCTCTCAGCACTTTGCTGGTCCAGCTGTAGGCCTATCTCCCACACAAACCTGGCCCAGTATGACAAGCCAAAGCTTTGAAGCCTACAGTCTAACAGACAGCCTGGAATTCCAGAAAACCTCCAATACGGTAGACTTTGAATTTCTCTGACCAGAGTACTAATAAATATGGACCATTTTAAAAAGAGGTCTTCTTGCCTCTTGTACATAGCTATTGTTTCCTTTGTTTCGTTTTAACCCAAACATCTGGGTCTGTGTCTCTGATTTCCATGGAAATGTTGTGAAAAGAGATTTCCAAGTAGAGCTGGGCACTACGCAATCAGCCCCACAATTCTCCCTGAGAAGCCTTCCTAGTCCCTTACATGGCCAATGAGACTCCAAAATTCCCCTCCCAAAACTATCCTGGAGTTTCTAAAAGTAGGACAGTGGTTTTCGGGGTTATCCACTTTATTTTTTTAAAACTAGGAATCACTCTGTCACCCAGGCTGGAATGCAGTGGCACAATCATGGCTCACCAAAGCCTTGACCTCCTGGGCTCAGGTGATCCTCCCACCTCAGCCTCCTGAGTAGCTGGGACTACAAGTGCCCGCCACCACACTCGGCTAATTTTTTGTTTGTTTTTTGTTTTTTGAGACAGAGTCTCGCACTGTCACCCAGGCTGGAGTGCAGTGGCAGAATCTTGCAGAATCTCGCTGCAACCTCCACCTCCCGAGGTTCAGGTGGTTCTCCTGCCTCAGCCCCCTTAGTGGCTGGGATTACAGGTGCATGCCACCATGCCCGGATAATATTTGTGTTTTTGGTGGAGACAGGGTTTCACCATGTTGCCCAGGCTGGTCTCGAACTCCTGACCTCCAATGATTCGCCCACTTTGACCTCCCATGGTGTGGGATTGCAGGCATGAGCCACCGAGCCCAGCCAATTTTTGTATTTTTCGTGGAGGCAAAGTTTTGCATGTTGCCCAGGCTGGTCTCGAACTCCTGGAGTTAACATCATCCACCTGCCTCAGCCTCCCAAAGTGCTAGGAATACAGGAGTGAGCCATCGCACCCAGCTGGGTTATCCAGTTCAAAAGAATTTTTTTTTTCAAGGTAACCAGAGAAGCCATCATCCACTTTTCTCTCTGTATCATTCTGATTTTAGTATATGTGTTGTGGAAGTGAGTATACACTATCATCCACTTTTAATGAGAGAAAGTTATAAACTTACCTTTTGTTTCCAATTTTTAGGGTTTTTTTGTTTGTTTGTTTTTTGTTTTTTGTTTTGTTTTGTTTTGTTTTTGTTTTTGTTTTGGAGACAGCACTCTGCTTCCAGGCTGGAGTGCAGTGGCACCATCTTGGCTCACTGCAGCCTCTGCCTCCTGGGCTCAAACAATCCTCCCACCTCAGCCTTCTGAGTGTCTGGGACTACAAATGCGTGCCACCATGCCTGGCTAATTTTTGTATTTTTAGTGGAGAAGTGGTTTCGCCATGTTGCCCAGGCTGAATTTGGGGTTTTTTTAAAGGAGACTTTCAGTCCAAATTTGAGGGGAAATTACTATCACCACTAGTTTTAATATAGTATAATGAAAAAATATATATATAGTACAATGGTCCAGACATAATAAGAGGTGCAAAAACTAGCACAGGAAGAAATAAAAACAGATTTTTGAAGGTGAGATGATAAACTCGCAAAATTAACAAAATAAATAGTCAAACTTTTAGAATGACATTTTAGCACATTTTCCAGCCACGTGATCATTCTACAAAATTAATATCATTTCTGAACACCAGTAATAAAGAAACATAAGGTAAGTACCTCTCAATAAAAAATGTAAAAGTACCTAGGAATTCACGAAGAAAATTAATACCTCTGTGGAGAAAACTTCAAAAACTCAAAAAAAGACATAGAAAATGTTTTGAATAGGCCGGGCACAGTGGCTTATGCCTGTGGTCCTGGCACTTTGGGAGGTCAAGGCGGGTGGATCATGGGGTCAGGAGATCAAGACCATCCTGGCCAGCATGGTGAAGCCTCGTCTCTACTAAAAGTACCAAATAAATTGGCTGGGCGTGGTGACGCATGCCTGTGGTCCCAGCTACTCGGGAGGCTAAGGCAGGAGAATCGCAAGGATTGAAATCACGCAGTGTGTTCTCCAAACACGATGGAATGAAATTAGAAATCAATAGTGGAAGAAAATTTGGGAAATTCACAAATATGTGGATATTAAACAATACATTCCTAAATAACCAATGGTTAAATGGGAAATCACAGTCTGAGCAACATGGCAAAACTCTGTCTCTGCAGAAAATGGAAAATTGGCTGGACATGGCAGCCAGAGCCCATGCTCCCAGCTACTCAGGAGGCTGAGGTGAGAGGATCCATACCCCGAGCCACAGAGGTCGAGGCTGCAGTGAGCAGTGACTGTGCCACTGCACTCCAGGTTGAGCAACACAGTGATACCATCTCAATAAATAAATAAATAGAAGAAATCGTAAGTAAAATTGGAAAACACTTTTAACTGAAACAAAACAAAAACAAAAACAGAAGCACAACAAACCAAAACATGGGATGAAGCTAAATCAATGCTAAGAATGAAATTTATAGCTTCAAATACTTACATATATATTTTTAAAAGGTCTCAGATCAATAAGTTTTATACAGGAAGGAAGCTGGCATAGTTTTACTAATATTTGTCAAATTAAACTTTAAGGCAAAACTTTTTTATTGAGATGGAGCCTTGCTCTGTCGCCCAGGCTGGAGTGCAGTAGTGCGATCTTGGCTCACTGCAACCTTTGCCTCCAGAGTTCAAACGATTCTGCTGCCTTAGCCTCCCAAGTGGCTGGGACTACAGGTGTATGCCACCATGCCAGGCTAGTTTTTGTATTTTTAGTAGAGATGGGGTTTTGCCATGTTGCTCAGGCTGGCCTCAAACTCCTGAGCTCAAGTGATCCTCCTACCCCAGCCTCCCAAAGGGCTGAGATTGCAGGTGTGAACCACCTCGCCTGGCCAAAACAGTTTTTTAGAAATAAAGTATATTAGACAACAACAAAAGGAACAATTAACCTGAAATATATAACTCCGAACTTGTATATACTTAACATATACTCAAAATATATGAGGCAAATTTTAACAGAAATTAAAGTTCTTAAGAAAACTTCACCAATACATAGTCATAATGTGGCATATTCATACAACACTCTCAATAATTGATAATAACAGTCCAAAGGAAGCAGAAAGAAGGAAAGCCTAGAGTAGAAATAAATGAAATAGAGAATAGAAAGGCAATAGAGAAAAAAATTATGAAATCAAAAGCTGGTTCTTTGAAAAGCTCAACAAAATGGCAAACATTTAGCTAGATTGACCAACCCCCAAAAAGACTCAAATTACTAGAATCAGAAACAAAAGTCAAGATTTTATTACCAACCTTATAGAAATAAAAATTTTTAGAAAGAAATAATATGAAGAATTGAACACCAACAAATTAGATAAATGAAATGGACAAATTCCTAGGAAGACACGGAATACCTCATCTGACTCCACAAGAAATAGATGCTGTGAATAGAGCTTGCTATGGTATGAATGTGTCCCCCACAGCTCACGCATTGGAAACTTAATCCCCCAAGCAACAGCGCAGAGAGGTGGGGCCTTTAAGAGGTACTAGGCAGAACCCCCATGAACGGATTAATGCCATTGTTGTGGGAGTGGGTTAGTTATCTCAGAAGTGGGTTCCTGATAAAAGGATGGGTTCGGCCCGCTTCTCCAAATCTTTATTCCCACCCCCACTGGTCTCTCTCTCTCTCTTTCTCTCTCTCTCTGTCTCTCTCTCTCTGTCTGTCTCTCTCTCTCTCTCTCTCTCTCTCTCTCTCTCTCTCTCTCTCCCCTCCTCCTCTCCCTTCCTTTTGCCATGAGAGGATGAAACATGAAGGCCCTGGCCAGATATGGCCCCTCCATCTTCCATTTGAGGCTAGAAGACTTCCCAGCCTTCAGAACTGTAAGAAATAAACCTCTCTTCTTTAAAAAAAAAAAAAAAAAAAAATTGTTCACTTCCACTGATCCTAGAAAAAATCAGCTCTCCAAGAAGGAGTAGATCATTGTTACTTGCTATCTGCCTTAGTAAATAGCAGATGCCTCAGAATTGGGAGGCATGGAGGTTCTTTCATGGCTAGAAAGAGCACTACAGATATGGTCTCCCTACTCGCATCTCCCCTTTTCCAAAGACTCGTTCTCTTCCTTCCTCGTGTTGGAAACTCTGTCTAGCCCCCTCTTTCTCACCTCTGGGCACTCATGTGTCAGTCTCATGGTGCCATCTTGAGACATTTACCTATATAGGTAGAGTCCCGAGGAACAGGAAACTAGAGACAGTGGGAAGGAGCATGCCAGAGGTGTTTGGCCCACGACCTTTTACAAATACAGAGCCTGGCAGATGGCAACAAAAAGTACAAACACCTTCCCTTCTCTGATCTCTTATCTCAACGCTAAACCTTGTCATTACTGAGGCTGGCAGAGAGGCACCATGAGGGGGGAGATCCCAGAACTAGTGATGGAAAGGGAGTTCTTACCCTGTCAGAAACTCTGTGGCCTTTAAGCAAGTTACTTTCCTTCTCCAAACTCGGTTTTCTCCCCTTGCGAAGTAAGGGTAATAACACGTGTTCTGCCTGTCTTGCAAGATTTTTATGAAGATAAAATGTGCTAAGGTATGTGAAAGGGCCTTGTAAAATGCTATATAAATGAAAGTACTATTACCCAGGAGTAAGAACTCAACTTGTGTATAGCATCACAGTTGTAGTTGAATAAGTTCCAGGATATTAAATATCTTTATACATCACTTCTGGGTAACTTGTGCAATATATAGTTTATATATGGAGTGTAATTTTTCACTTGGGGTATTGTTTTACTGTGTAAGTCCTAGTTATTTACAGAGGCTTTATTTGAAAATGAGCTAACACGTTCAAATTCCCCACATTCAATTTATTCACACATAGACATGTTAAATAAGAACTTCTTATTTTTCTGCTCTGATATTTCATCAAACTAAAATAAATGTTTAATATTATATATTTTAAGTATTTCAATATCTGGACTAGAATTGTTGTATAATTTATTCTGAGCACTTATATAGTGCCAAGTAGTATGTTAAACATTATGTCATATAATCCTTACCACATCCAAATGAGAG